TAGCTTCTGCTCAAGGGATCCAGACAGCAATCATGTACTAGGAAAATGTATCAGTTCTGCACTCCAGAGAAAAAGATGAGAAAGTAAAGGAAAGGCTCTGTACTTTACTCAGCTCTAATTAAACAAAATCCCATTTCAGCCCCAGACAACCTCCGGTCTACAGGCCAAAGCCTCAGATGAAGTAAGGTAAGCGAGCCACAGGAGAGGCATAAACTTCAAGGAGGCTCAGGAAATTACACTTCAGGTTTCCTCAGCCACTCTGCAGTTCAAATCTCTTTACCCAAGTATTTCTCTTTCCAGTTGTGGGAAGAGTCCAAGTAAGACTGATCCATCCACAGTTTTGAGCTGCCACTTGTAAATAAGAGTCCATTTAAAAAATGATCGATTTAACAGACTATAAGAAAAATTCAGCCCTCCTCATTTCTCATCTTCTCAAGGAACAGCAGCTACTGTACTCTAAAACATAATCCTGTGAAGGATAAACCCACTTACTTTTCTTTCATTTATCTTTACCACCAAGATAGAAGCATTGCTGGTCACAAACTTAATAAAATGGCTCATCTAATCCTAGCCAGCCCAGGGCATTAAAAAAAAAAAAAGAAAAAAAGGGAAAAAAGGGGCTTGTTATGGTAGACACAGAACTAAAAGGTACCTTGTTAAAGCCTGGATCTGAGCATTTATATGCACAAGTAATTGTAGTCCAAAGTAAAGAGGGGAATAAAAAATTAGAATGGTTCAATGAATACATGGAAAACATACTCTTAATGGATGGTTTTTCTTTTAAGCTCACCTTTGAAGAAAGGTTTTCAGGTCACGTTAGTGAAAGGGTCAACACAAACAAAAATACAATCTCGAAACTGACTTAATTATACTGTTTGAATGCTAAGAGAAACCTTTTCATATCTTGTTCATTACTTAGAGGCAATGGAATAATAAGCAAGCAATGAAAAAAAAAAAAAAAAAAAAAGAGTAATGGACCCCAAAGGTAAGATCCAGTTTTTGAACACTGTCTCAAGATTCAACAGATGAGCAAGGTTTCAGCAGAAACCAAGTTGTTTCTTTCCCTCTCTGTAAACCATGATGCTTTTAGATAAATATAGCTAGTCTCTGCTATCCAAAATCCTTCTGATGTCATTTTAAGCCCTTTCAGAGAAATGGTAAACTAATCCAGAAGAATTTGAAGTCTGAGCAGATGATAAAAACCCACACCATTTGTGCCCAAACCTTTGGGCAAGACGTACTTATGTTTCCACCAGACCTGGGAACCACCCAGCAGGGAGAACCAGCTTTCTGATAACCAGGTTTCAGACAGACATCTTGCTGTACTCTGTTTCTTGGATTTTTCTGTTCTTTTTTTAAAATATGAAAGACTGCCACATTATTCTCTGAAGGCCTCTGACAGTGCTAAAGCAATTTTCTACATAAATCATTGTAATGCTAACACTGCAGTTTACAGACTCATCTCTAAAAGAAAGCCTTTACTATTTACTGCCACAGCAAGTAGAGAAAAGAAAAGTTAAGCTCTGATGACTGCTCTGTTTGGGGGCATAATAGAATTGAAAATTTATGCCTTGGCCCAGTTCTAACAAAACTTAATATACTTGTGAAAACCATGTAAATACTTTGTACTTAAGAGAACAGTGTATAAAAAACGTTTAGCAGATTGAGGTACATGTACATTCACATTGCAAGCATGCTGAAAATCCCCCAAATGTTAAAGCAAAACTGCCTGACTAGCAATTACAAAGCCTTGAACGTGTTTTCACTGAACATCCTTCTCTGTTAATCTGGTTTTTTGGAAGCAAATAAGGGAAAAAAGGACTAAGGGTTGTAAATTTTGCTTATGAGCATGTTTCTAAGCAAGGTAAGAAACCTCTCCCTCGCTGGCTTATGAACACGCTGCATGCAGCTTTCTAAATAAGACCGTCAGTCTGTGATTGAACATCACAGCTTCGGCATCAGCCCTGCATGGGTCACTCACCCCCTGCCCACAGCCCCGCGCTGCCGGCACCGCAACAGACGGCTGCCACCATGCGGATGCTGCACAGCCACCGCAGAGCCACCAGCTCAGCAAGGGTCAGCACGGGTCCCTCGGGCAAGCGCATGCCCAGGCTGGGGAAACCTGCAACTGGAGAGCAGGGCATTGGCTTGTCCCATCATCCCAAAAGGCAACTACAGCTTTCCTAATATTGCACCAGAATTTTTATAGTAATACAACCTACGTACTGTTGTTTATGGTCTTTTATTAGTCTTCAAGAAGTCCAGACATTCATAAAAATGCTTGTGGCAAGGCACTCAGGAGAATACTACTGCTGCTCAGTTTCAGGTTTTTTCCAGTTTGTTTATACACAGTCTTTAATTATAACTTTCATCCTGTTACCATAAACCCAGCTTTATTTCCCTTCTAAATAAACATCAAGGTTTTGCAGATAAGGAACATATTTCCATCTTCTTCCTTTGCAAACATAAAGCTAATAAATCTTAAAAACCTTTTTATTTAAGCAAGCAGAGCCTTTGGAGTCCAGCATGTGAACTTCATGTAGTGTTAAAGCAATGCAAACCAAGCACCCTTAGATTCTGTCTGTTTGTAACAGCAGTTTATTTTTTTTGAAAAAAGCAAACTAAACCAAGTACAAGCAAGTTTAACTTCTGGTCAATTCTACTTTTATTCTTAAATATACTTAAAATATGCCTTTAAAACACTTTTTAAAAAAGGATATGTGGATTCCTTACTTATTAACCTTACTACGTTTTGTATTTAAATGCATGTCTCAACAACAGCTAAGCAGCAAGACTTACTTTTTGTCATCAGTGTTACCTACAGAATGCCCAGTCACACCTTCAGAAGTCAGCATGGTAGGCCAGATAATGAAACTTTTCACAGCATTTCACTCAGTCAAAAAGCTTTTAAAAGCACCCCAATAATTAATTTGGCCCATCTGTGGGTACCTAAAAGGTGCTTTCTTATCTTAAGCTGCCATCACCAAGACACACACCTCATTTTAGCTTCACAGACTCTCTCTGAACTTGAGTCTATTAATTTGCATGAAGAACAATGGTGAACAACAGAATTGTGTTGGCCAAAAACATATTACATGTAAACTCTTGGTTAACAAATTTAAACTTTAAAGGAACTGTTTGGATAGCCAGAAGCTAACAAGAGTTACTGCAGCAGCACATTCAGCAACCTTGCTTTACCAAAGTACTTAAGGACTCGCTCAGATGCAAACAGCCTTACTCAGCCCACACACTAAACCCCCTAAAAAGTTCTTAAATGCTTTGATAAATAAAAAGCATGAGCAGGGGAGAACATTGAGTTGGAAGCCAAGTTATTTTTCAGTTAAATGCATTTAACTACCAATTCTAGCACTGGCTTGGAAGGAGGTCCCACAGTATCTTTATTTTAACAGCAGTAACACACATACTTTTCAAACATATATTTCACCCAAGAATTATAATGCCTTCAAAACAGGAACAAGATTTACTGCCCTTCCAGCATTTTCTAACCAAATACCACAAAAAATGCTGCTCTTGCAGAATGTCAAGGAGAGGAAAGGGCAAAGGAGCAAAATCCAATCCGTGCTGAAGTTGGTAGCTGAAGAAGTTTGTCTACGTGCAGTGAGATTCCCATCTGCATTTCATTGCAGCTAGTGTGAACCCAATCAGTGCAGGTTAAATATACGTCAGATCAGTGATTATTGTGTTCTGACCTCTGTG